GGGGGAGCCGTAGGGGTTGCACTGGCAGGTGCGTGCGAGCCAGAGAGAGAACGTGAGGCCGATTCCTGGGCAAGGAGCCGGGGGGACGCTGGGGGCTGCATCGCGGCGAGGGGCTGGCTGCCGATCCAGGGCAGGAACGTGGTCCCACGCCAGGCAGGAGGAGGTGCCACCAGCTGCTCCCAACACTTCTCCTCTGCCCCAGCTACAGGGGAGAACTAAACCTCCAGGGACTAACTCGCTTGCTTTGCCGTCATCAAGAACTCCTCTCTCATTAACATCAAAGGGGGAGGAAGCTATTAGAAGCTTATTATTAATTCATTAATTAGGAACTTGATGGAGGGAGATGATCCAAAGATAGACAGAGAGACGCTCCCTTTATCCACAGGGAGCAGTAGAAAGGGGACGTGGGGCAGAGCTGGAGGGAAAGGGAGATCTCAGGAGCAGCAAGGGTGCACGCAGCCATCCCCAGACTGCCAGAGGCAGGGAAATGGCACGTCCAGAACGGATAAATCCGCCCTAGGGGCTTCAAGCTGCTGGTTGAGTGGCAATTACCTCCTGATGTACGCTTGCTGCCAACACAGGGGGGACAGGAACTGGTGGGACACTGAATCCCAGTCAGCTGGGAAGCTGCGCCCGTGGATCGGAGGGCAAGGGACAGGACTTCCAGCAGCGACACAGAGGAACATCGCTACCGACTGCCACTGGCAGGGCGATGCCGAAAGCAAAACGCTCGCCCTGACCGGCTCCTCCTGCCCTGCTGGCCCCTCTGGGCTAGCACATGCCACGCCGCCCCGTGCCCCCCCCACCAGGGGACCTCCGACCATTCTCCGCTGCTGCTTTTTAAATTACGTGGCACATTAAACCGCGCTACAACCTCATCGAGCAGGCACCAGCCAGGCCTGAGCACCGCGTGAGCCGTGTCTCCACGGGGCAACGTGCTTCCCTAACAAGCGGCCACAGCCTTGGCTACTGAAGAGTTTGCTAATGCCTTTCCAAACACGCCTTCTGCTAAAGTGCTGACTCCTGATAATTATTTAATAAATATTAATGAAAGGTTTGCCAGCTCAGCTCCCTGCACAGTGCAGTCACCCACCAGTCACCGGCCCTAGGGTGGCCTGCAGAAGGTCCATAGGTGAACCCGAAAGCTCTGTTCCACCTCAGCCTACAGTGCAAGGACACAAGCAATATTTTTGTCACTCAGGCTGGTGAAAAGCCCGAAGCCTCTAGCAACGGGTTGAAGGCACAGAGGGCACAGTCTGGCCCTAGGGGCACCTTCTGGGGCGTCCAGCACGGACTCAGCCCCAGCCAAGTTCTGAGCCACTGTCCTGCATTTCAGAGGGACGTAGACCTGGAAGCTGAGTCAGGGCTTTTGAAAGGACAAGAGCATCACTAGCAGATAGAGAAGGCGAAGCATGTGCCCACACCTCCATGTGTGCATGCTGTGAGCCTGGAGCTGGGGATAAATGGCAGCTTTTTGAGCCTCGGGGATCACTAGTTAGCGAAGGAACGGGGAGGGACCACCTTCCTTTGTTTCCCTGAGGATGGGACCCCATGTCCCCCCTCCACCTGATCTCTCCTGCCTTCCAGCCATCCTTGAAGGTCCTTCATGCCCCCCCTAGGTGGGAACACACTATTCACTCACTTGGGCACCCAGCTGCACCCACTCCCAGCGCCAGGGTCATGTTGTCCGGGCAGCATCCATAGATGGTCTGGCTGCAGTGCACCACCAGGAGAGGTGGCGGGGTCGTGGCAAGGGCTGCGGAGGAAGGCAGAGAGGCACAGGTTATCGCCGGCACACCAGCTGCCGCAGGGCAGCATTGCCAAGGGATGGATCAAGCGTGGCCCCTGCAAAACCACGCGGTCCTTGCAGAGACGCCCAGGTCCTACCCTTGGCCAGGGAAAGCCCAGGGCAGGGAACAGGAACGATGCAGTGGGGACCAGCAAACCAACACAGGCACTGCTGCGTCCTCAGCGAGCACGCCCTCGCTTAGCCCCAGGGAAAGGGCCCCAGGCTGGGGACCCGTGCACACAGCTTGTGTCAGCCCTGGGGTGGGGGTGGCTGCCTTTGGGGGACTCACCACGGCAGGCTCCTTGGCTAGTGACATAGAGATCCTGGCGTTTTTCACACCGTGTCTTCTTCAGCTCACACTCGTTGGTGTAGGTCACACCATCAGAGCCACATACCTGCCAGGACAGGGAGGGGAAGCTGCTCAGGGCGGTCCCTGGCAGAGGAAGGCAGGTTCCTATCCATGGGATGTCCTCTCCTGCCTGGGAAGCATGCGGGAAGGCCAGCAGGGAGAAGAGAGGAGGGGAGCGAGGACTGCAGCGGGCAGCCCAGGACTGCTCAGCATCCTTACCGGGTTGCGTGGCACTGCCAGGCAGGTGAAGTCACACACGCAGCGGTCATCCTCCGCATCCTCGTCCCACCAGCCCCCGTACTGCCGGCACCGGTCCTGCTCACACTCGCTACCGTCGCCGGAGCCCGAGCCCCCTGAGCCGCACTCTGGAGCGAAGCAGAACCATGGTAAGAAAGGGCTCATGGGGGGGAAAGCAGAGGGGCTAGGGCCAAAGTCCCCGGAGAAGCAGCCCCCACCCACAGAGACCCACACAAATCACAGCAGATTTAACCCTCTTCAGCACAGGCAACCCCAGAATCCCCGGCCCATGTATATTAGGATGTTCATGCCTGGACCTCAGAGAAGATCTCCCAGATTCTCCCGCAAGATTGTGCTATGCCTGTATAATGAAAACAGCACAGGGATGCTTTAGCGGGTGGCCTGAGGTCTTCCTCTCTACAGCATCACCACAGGACCAAAAGCAAGGGTCCTGCAGCTACCGGTGCCCTGCAGGCGACCTGGAGATCAGACAGCACTGGAGGAAGGGCTGCCACTTAGTGACAGCTTAACTCCATACTTTGATCCGACTCCTTCCCCTTCTCCGGCCCTCCCAAACACACAGGGAGATTGCTGCTGCTAATAGAAAGGTGGAAACCGGAGGAGAGGAAGGGACAGGGTTTGGGTTTAGTTTGAAGTTCAGTGAGGGAGATATTCTTAACAATATATAAACTCTGTCCCCAGCCTGGCTGCCTCTCCGTTGGATGCTCGGAGCGTCAGCAGCTAGAGAGAGACGCTGCTGATTTCAAAGGCTTCTTAAAGGAGAAAGGGGGGAGGAAAACCTGGCCCTTTTTATTGAGTGATCAAAGGCTGGGATTTGGCATTACACAGAGAATTATTTAAGATCTCTTCCCGGAGGGACATCAACCTGAAATTCCCCAGGGAAGGCTGTGATCAAACACCATGTTATGTCTTCCCCTCTCCCTAAGCTCTGCCATAGCCCTGGCGTCCTTTCCAGCTAGGCTACATGTGCAATGAGCCAGAGAATCTCAGCTCGCCAGGTCAGCACATCAGATCGGCCAGGTCTATACACCTCCTGTACCGGGATTCAGCTGGCATTAACCCACAGCCTTCCTCCTACAGTGGGAAAACCCAGCAGGTTCTCACTCCTTACCCTGGCTGAGCAAGGCACGGCCAACCCCACCACCTCCCCGGGGTCAATAGTGGCCACAGGTCAGGCCCTCGAGCAGCCCCCCAGGGCAGAGGGGAGCAAAGCAGAGCCAGGCACCGCTCCGTTTCCCCCAGCCAAAGCCCTCCGGAGTGTGAAATTAAAGCAGTGATGAACTCCTCGCCCAGCCGATTAGGCGGCGTCAGCTCTCATTACTGCTGGATACAGAGAGGCAAAGGGTGGCAGCGGCCGGCCAGCCCGCAGGGAAAGGAGAGGGCTGCTGGCGTGGGACCTGCTGTGCTGGGGACACCGGGGGTGTCACAGGGCCCCGCAGGCAGCGAGGTGAAGAGCCCACTGCGCGCAGCCTCAGCCCTTCCTCACACCTTCCTCCTCCTCCTTTCGCACCCGCACGGCCGGAGGAACGGCGGCAACCTACCGTCCTCACAGGGTCCCATCCTGGCAACCTCAATGCTCTTCTTCTGCTGGCAGGCGGCCACCTGCAGCTCGCACTGGTTGTCGTAGGTGAGGCCATCGGTGCCGCAGACACGGGCCAAGGGCTGCCGCTCGCAGCGCGGGCACACGCACTGCCCGCCCAGGCACTTGCTGCCGAAGGAGCACACCGTGCTGCCGCAGGACTCTGCGGGGCGAGAGGCAGGAACCACAGTGAGGCGGCGTGGGGACCTTGGTAGCCAAGTGCCCAGCGCCCGCAGGGCTGGGGATGGCTAATGCCGTGCCCTTGGAGGCAAGGGGAGAAGCCTCGCTTCCCCAGAGGGGTTTATTACTGCTTAATTAAACCACGCGACGGCTCTGCAGCGGACAGGCGACACCCCTGAGCGTTTCTGATTCCCATCAGCTGTGTCCAACTGCTTTTTCTAGGACACCAGGAAGAAATCCCATTTATTCTCATGGTGACTTCAGCCTGCTCCCGCTCGCAGTGCCCACAGTCATCTGTCACACCCGGCCGCTCTTCTCCCCCAAATTTAGGGAGGATCTGCATGCCCAGTGCAGCCTCGGAGCACAGACCCAGCTGGCCAGGTTTTATGAGGCTCAAAGCATTGCTTTTCCTGTCCTAATGAAGAACCTAGGCAAGGCTTTTAATTCATTAATCCATTAAGAAATTACCACAGTTCCCTGCGTTGGGGAGGAAACACATGAGGGAAGAGGAATTAACCCCTGGGGATGGAGGGAAGGGAAAGCTACTGAGATGAACTGCGTGACCCCACGGACCCTCGATGCTGTCACTTCTGGCGGTAGCTATAAACGTGGTTTTAGCCCAATTTCTTTGCTTGGCTCAGTGGACATTAGCCCCATTTCTTTGCTTGGCTCAGACACGGAGCAAAGAGGGCAGACACCACCCACGGTGCACAGCTGGGGCTAAAAAGGAGAAGCTGCTCGAGAGACTCCAGATTCCCAATTCTCGTGAAGCCGAAAGGGAAGATGGCACCAGAAAAGGTGAAAAGCCTCGGGCAGGGTCTCCGAGTGACCTGCCAGGAACCGCAGCCCAGGGCCAGGCTTTACTTGGGACTGTCCCTGGGAAGCCCTGCTACTCTGGAGCCGATATCCTCCTGGGAAGTCCCAAGTAAAGGCACCAGGAGGAGCGGCTGGGGAGAGCCTCCGCACATCCCAACCCTGGGGTTTCTCCGGTGCCTCCCAGGGCTGGCAAACCCATGGGCTACAAGCACTGCAAATGACTGGTGAGCCTCGGTTGGCCACGGCCAGGCAGCTCGGCGGGACCCCGGGCGGCCAGCGGGGCTGAGCATCCGCTCGCTGAAATGCCACCAGCAGGAGTGAGCCGAGGGAAGAAGGGGACCTTGCCAGACTCACTGCAGTCTCCTTGGGCGGCCACCAAAATGTTTGTCTGCTGCGTGCAGGCCCGGACGTGGAGCTCGCACTCGCTGCCGTAGGTGTTGCCGTCGGTGCCGCACACGGGCTGAGAGGAGGGCACGCACTCCGTGGGGCACACGCACCTCCCCGTCTCCGCCTCGCAGATGGCCCCAAACTGGCACTTGCCACAACGGTCTGCGCGGACAAAGAACAAAACCGGCGGGTTAAAACAACGGGTAACAGCATCGCTGCCTGATGAAGTGCCAGAGCAGAAATAAAACCCCACTGCCACCCCCTCCGCTGGGTCGAGCCCCTGCCGGCGCCGGCAGCCTTGTGGGGAGCAGGAGCCCCAGGGCGCAAGGGAAGGAGCCGAGGCGAGGGCTGCAGGAAGAGGGAGATCGGGCTGGGAGGCAGAAAGGCCGTAACTCCTCGTAAACGCTGTCAGGGCCAGGAGTAACCATGATGAAACGTCCCCAGAGCCGTGTGTCGTTACAGCTACGTCGGAGGCGGGAGAAGAGCAGGGGGCTGAGTGCAATTACGAGGAGCGATAAATCCGTCCCAGCCTTGGGGGGAGGAACGCAGCATCCCGGCCGGCCTCCCAGGGGAGAGAGGCAGGATGCACAGGCAGGAGGATGCGCCGGGCGGCAGGGAGGAGGTGGATGGCCAGGAAGGGAGGCTCTGGCTTCCCCTGGTTTATCGGGGTGCCAGCCCTGCGGACGCACGTATAACATCGCACCAATTCAGAGCGCCCTGCCACCTCCCCCCGCGGGACCCTCAGCCAACACCCGCACAGCACCCGCACCGGGGCCGGGCTCGGAGGGCACCTTCACCCCTGCAATAATTCCCTTGGGAAGGAGCTAGCACCCATTGCAGGAGAGACCTGACCCCTGGCTGTTTAGCCATTCACGGCTTCGTTTTCTCCTTCAGCCAAACACCTTCCCCTCCCCGCCATTCAATCCGCGCAGAATTTGGCTCCGAGATGGTTTTTTTTCTTATTTTTCTTTCACGCAGCAGCTGCTGCCTTTGCACGGGGGAGGGAAGATGCCGCAGCCCCCTGCTCGCCTGGGGCGGGCGGCGGGCCAGGAGGTTTCTATCTATGGCACAGAGCTCGCAGCCACGCCGGGACGCCGCCGGTCGGGAGCGGGGAGCTCGTTCCCACAGGGCGTGTGCCCGACAGATGAAATATTTCTATTTACACCCTTCGCTGCTTCTCCTGCAACCGCGTGCAGCCGGTACCAACATTTTCTTCTGACCTGAATCCCGCTGGGCCCCCTGCTACGCTGCAGCGGGGAGCTCCGCAGGTTGGAGGGGGGGGTCTTCATTCCTGGAGGAAGGGTCTTCCTTTCCTCTGCTGTCTCAAAGCCCTTACGGCTCAAGAGTGTGTTCCCCAAATTGGGCTGCACAGCGCAGCTCAGCAGGGAAATGACTGTAAGGGATTAAGCCCAGTTTTGACAGGGGCACTGCTATGCCACGCCAGCTCCTGATACCCAGCCGGAAGGTTAGGGGCAGACTGTATTTTGACAAAATTGCCGTGAGCCCAGCCCTACCTGACCATGCTGGCAGATTTTCTCCTAGAAGAACCCAGCCAGCTCGGGCTGTACCTGTCTGCAAACACTTTCTGACCGGCAAAGCTGTGGCTGGCACCGAGCTTGCAGGTGGAACTGCTGCCTATGGGTCTGCGTCGCGTACGCTACGCGGTGGCAACCAAAGCACAAAGACAGCCCCGCAGCTGGAGCCACGCGCGGGCTGGAGACGCCGCCTGCTCCCAGAAAGCAAACCCCATTCTGGCCAGCAGCGGGAGGAGGAGGAGGAGGAGGAAGAAGCACCAGAGATGGGCTCTTACCGCAGGGCCCCTTGTGTTTCACTTTGATCTCCCTCTTGAGGACGCAGGCCATGGAGTCGAGCTCGCAGGGGTTGCCGTAGGTGCGGTTGTCGCTGCCGCACACGGGGTCGTAGCGGCCCTGGCACACCTGCTGGCACTCGCACACGGCCTCCTGGTTCTTCACCACGCACGTGGCCCCAAAAGTGCACTCCACGCTCAGGCACGGGCTGGGTGTGCCCAGGTCTGCAGAGGGGGGACAAGGAGAGAAAGGCACCGGTCTCAGCCCGCTGCTTCGCCAGCTCTCCCGGGGCACTGTGCGCAGCATCGCATGCCAGCATCCCCAGCCTCAGGCCCACGCCTGCCTCCCCCAAGCCACGGCAAACGCACAGAGCTCCTGGCCTTGGCACCACCCCAGCCCCTGCACCCCTCCATGCCACCCCAACATGCCCGGCTCAGCATCTTCCCCATGCTTGGCAGAGGTTAGGGATGGGAAGCAGGCACAAGATCTTCTCCCTGCACACCAGCAACAGGACTCCCTCCTCATCTCCTCCGTCCCATCCCCACCCCCGAGGAGCCAGCCAGCAGTGAGACCTGCACCAAACCCCAATGTCTAGTTCTCCCCAGCAGCATCAAGGATGATCATCATGTGCCGAGGGAGAGCAACGCAGACCGAGGCCCCTCGGTGCCAGGAAAGGGAGCCGACACTTCTTTTCCCGGGCAGCACCGGTGCTAGTACCCGCCTGGGAAGTCAGATCTGAACTGGCAGGGCAGGAGGCAGCAGAAAGCCCTTGGTGCCTCCAGGACACTCGCTACATCATCCCACGGTACCTGGCACTGGCTGCCGAACCCTCAGTAGCCAAAAAGCTCACACAGGGGTAGTTCCCTTCCCTGAGGCCTCACATCCTCACTGTCCCCTCAACAACTCATCCTAACACCCCCGGTGGCCATACCCAGGAAGATCTGGCTGGAGGGGACACCCGCACGTGGCTTCAGCACACAGCCTGTCTCTCTCCCCTCCCCAGCAGCTCAGCTCTTGCAAGCTGGGGTTGGAAAAGCCAGGGAGCTGCCATGGGGCGGGATGAAGAGACCCGGTGTCCTTGCTTCATCCCAGTCCACGGGCATCTGGCTCTAGGAGCAGAGCCCCGAGGCTCCCCGGGGACGGGCGATGCCCCGCAGCACGGGTTACAGGCCGAGAGGCAGCAGTGCCCTCTGCTCACGCACGG